ACATAGGAGTCCAGTGACGTAACCATCATACCACCTGCTGGTCCCAACTTTTTGTGGAGAGGATTCCAAAGAACTATTGTGTATCTTGGTCCTGATCCAGTTTAACAGACAAATATTTGCATTATAAAGCTCAAGTCTGGGTGCAGGAGGAAGTTGAGGAGAGTGTCCCTAACAGAGAGCAGGGTTGGTGACATGGGGCAGCCACACCAGCTGGCTGCAGCTCCAGCCCTGACAGAAGCGCTTTTCCACTTCCTGAGCCAGAAGAGGTGGGGAGGACCCTGGCTCAGCTCTCTAGGTTAGCCACCACCACGCAGCTTCGTCTTGGGCCCTTGTGAAGCGTCATGAAAAGCCTGCTTCCAGGGTTCCAAACGGTGCCTTGAGAAGTCTCACAGCAGAGCGGGTCCAGGCCAACTTCACAACTCTGGGTTTCAGTGAGGAATTCCACTTATTTTCTAAAAAGTGAAAGCAGAATGCTGCCCCCCTTCCCGTTGGTCAGACCCTGGTGACTGACTAGCTTATAGCTATAGAGCGGACGTTCGGTGTGATATCTGGGAGCCGCGGATTGGAGACAATGAGAAGCTTTTGAAATTACACAATTAAAGCTGGTGACAAAGGAAACCCGTCTGAAAATCTGTGCATGGAATTACCTTGCCTCAGTTCTGCAGCTTCCTACGTGAGATGGAGCGAGCGAGTCAGAGCCAGCCCGGAGTGTTCCGGCTGATTCCTGCCCCTGCATCTCCCTCTCCTCTCCCCACCTTCCTCCCTTCCCTGGGACTGCTTTGAGAGGCACCCCACTCACAGGCCTGTGAGGGGCTCCATTTGGCCTGTTGGATTTTTGGGCACCCAGGTGCAAAAGGTTCCTGAAAAACAACAGGATTCAGTACTTAAAAGCACTGGACACTGACCAAATAACCTTCCTTAAGGGACCACCAACTTTCTCACCAGGGCAGGTATTTAGAACTCCCATGGCAACTGAATTTCTGATGGTCAGATGGAGGAGGGGGGCCGGAACTCGCCACCTCCCCATCCAAGTTCTAAGGAAAACAAGTGGTTCCATCACTCAAAATAACCAGCTCATCTCCCTCCCCCGGAAAAAAAGCAGGGTTCCTTAACATCTGAGGAAGAGGCTGATGGAGTGAGACACACACACACACACACACACACACACACACACACACGAGAGCCCCCTGAGGACCCCCAGTGCTCTGTACCGTGGTGGCGGCAGTGCGTGCAATTCATTTTTAACAAGGTACCTGTGTGTAACTACGGGTCTTTGGACTTCTCTGAAAAGAACTACGGCCAAACTCTGCCCCCATTTCTGGTTTTGTCCTGTCGTGTTGTAATGAGGCAGGTCTTTTGGGACTAGTATAGCTTGTTTTGGTTCACACTGACCACTGTTGGTCAGAGGTAGAGAGAGAGAGAGAGAGAGAGAGAGGGAAAATAAGAATCACCCCCTGGGGAGATGGCCACACCACACCCTCTTCTCCTCTATTCTCCTCTTGGGATTTTTGGCAGGCACCCACATGCACCCAGAATGCTTTTCAAGACACCAGGTCCCAGACTTGAAATCTGCAGTCAGCCATGTGGGACCCAGCACCTTAACCACTATGCTGCCTGCTGGGCCCCTAGAGCAGTCTTCTTTAGGGGCCCAAATTGAAGCATCCTGTCCCTGTGGTAGAGAAGTGGATGTGGGACAAGCCCAGGCTCACTGGCCCAAGCTGTTAAGGATGCCCAGAATTCCAGTCATTTCGTCAAAGAGCAGCTCTTATTTGTATTTGAATAGGACGCTGAATAGTTGGAAAATTCCACTATTGTTTCCCTCCTCTTGTTCCATTTACGACATGAGACATGATCAGTAATTTAATGGACACACTTGTTATACGTATACATTTTCTAGGCTTTTATGCTCATTTTTGACACAGGATTTTCCTAAACTTTGTTTTAGTGCTATTGTCTATTTTCTTAATATAAGAAGCATACCTCCAGTAGTATAATTAAAATAATAAAAATGGGACCCAGCAGGTGGCATGGTGGTTGAGGCACTGGACTCTCAGATGGCAGACCACGGTTTGAGTCCCAGGCTTGGCAGCTTGCTTTCTCACTTTCTCCCTCTCTGTCTCTGTCTCTCGCTGGTCAAATTAAAATGAATAAATAAAATTAAATAAATATTTTTTTAAAAGATAACAAAAATGAAAAAGTTTTGTGCGTAAGATTTGACATTGTCAGGAGCCAACAGGTGGCGTGGTGATTAAGGTGCCGAATTCCCACATGGCTGACCAAGGTTCCAGTCCTGGACCTGCTGGTTTAAATATCACAGGGGAGGGGGGAGAGAGCCCCCTGAGGACCCCCAGTGCTCTGTACCGTGGTGGCGGCAGTGCGTGCAATTCATTTTTAACAAGGTACCTGTGTGTAACTACGGGTCTTTGGACTTCTCTGAAAAGAACTACGGCCAAACTCTGCCCCCATTTCTGGTTTTGTCCTGTCGTGTTGTAATGAGGCAGGTCTTTTGGGACTAGTATAGCTTGTTTTGGTTCACACTGACCACTGTTGGTCAGAGGTAGAGAGAGAGAGAGAGAGAGAGGGAAAATAAGAATCACCCCCTGGGGAGATGGCCACACCACACCCTCTTCTCCTCTATTCTCCTCTTGGGATTTTTGGCAGGCACCCACATGCACCCAGAATGCTTTTCAAGACACCAGGTCCCAGACTTGAAATCTGCAGTCAGCCATGTGGGACCCAGCACCTTAACCACTATGCTGCCTGCTGGGCCCCTAGAGCAGTCTTCTTTAGGGGCCCAAATTGAAGCATCCTGTCCCTGTGGTAGAGAAGTGGATGTGGGACAAGCCCAGGCTCACTGGCCCAAGCTGTTAAGGATGCCCAGAATTCCAGTCATTTCGTCAAAGAGCAGCTCTTATTTGTATTTGAATAGGACGCTGAATAGTTGGAAAATTCCACTATTGTTTCCCTCCTCTTGTTCCATTTACGACATGAGACATGATCAGTAATTTAATGGACACACTTGTTATACGTATACATTTTCTAGGCTTTTATGCTCATTTTTGACACAGGATTTTCCTAAACTTTGTTTTAGTGCTATTGTCTATTTTCTTAATATAAGAAGCATACCTCCAGTAGTATAATTAAAATAATAAAAATGGGACCCAGCAGGTGGCATGGTGGTTGAGGCACTGGACTCTCAGATGGCAGACCACGGTTTGAGTCCCAGGCTTGGCAGCTTGCTTTCTCACTTTCTCCCTCTCTGTCTCTGTCTCTCGCTGGTCAAATTAAAATGAATAAATAAAATTAAATAAATATTTTTTTAAAAGATAACAAAAATGAAAAAGTTTTGTGCGTAAGATTTGACATTGTCAGGAGCCAACAGGTGGCGTGGTGATTAAGGTGCCGAATTCCCACATGGCTGACCAAGGTTCCAGTCCTGGACCTGCTGGTTTAAATATCACAGGGGAGGGGGGAGGAGGTCAGCAGGTGGCCTGGTGATTAAGGGCTCCGGACTCCCAGGTGGCTGACTGCAGTTCAAGTGTCGGACCTGGAGGCTTGCTTTCTCTCACTCGCCTTCTCACTCTGTCCCTCTCTGGTTAAATTAAACAAATGAATGAATAATTAAAAAGAAATCACATCAAGTGCAAGTGTGTGCCCAAAATCCTGGGAGGAGAATGGAGGACAAGGGATTGTGACTTGGCCATCCCCCTGGGGGAGTGATACCTCACTTTCCCTCTCTCTGTCTCTCTCTGGTGAGTGCACATGACCTGTAGCAAAAAAGAGAAAAAGAAAAGATTTGACCTCGTCCAAGTCTTTGGTGTCACCCTTTGAATGCTGTATAGTGACAGCGCTCCTCGGGTCACGTGTTGTTAATCCACATTTTGAGCAATGATGGAGACTCCCTTGTACTGCCGTTTACTGGTTCAAGCGTCCTTCCTCTTCCAAGCTGAAGGCTGTATTTAGGTAATAGTTTACATTTCAAAGGGCTCCATAAAT